AAACAGATTCAGATTTATTAACCCAAATGCTTTTAATCTTTAGAAGAATTATTGGGTGATCCGATAACATACCCTTGATAATACTGATTAGAAGAACAAGAATAGTTCTTAGAAACAGTTGATTTAGGGTTGCTTGAATAACTATTCGATTTGGAACAGTCATAGAAGCTAGTTTTACACTGAGAAGGAGAACCAATTGAGCTTTGAGCACAAGAAAAGTCTTTGACTTTCTGTAAAAGCTGGTCTATTTCAACAGTAATCAAACTTATTTTTAAGTTTTGTTCTCATTTTCAGCTCAGTTTCAAGGTATGTCTTCAGATCAGACAATTTCTTTGAAGTATCCAGGAGTTTACCTTCTAACTCCTTCTGAAGCATTTCAAACTTCTTTTTCTGATTTATTTACTCTCTAATCTCTTCATCTGAGCTGCTTTTCTCATTCTCAGAAACGATGTCAAGCCACTTTTTCTTTTCAGCAAGTTCTTTAGCAATAGCTGTATGTTTCTTTGTAGTATTTCTCTTCTCAAGAGCAAATTGCTTCTTTTCTTTATCTAAAGCCTTCTACTTTAGAGCAATGTTGTCAGACAATTTCTGAGTTTGGCTCTGACACTCTTCTATGATGTCTTTCTTTTCTTTATCATTCTTGGCACGTTCCAAGATGATCAGCTGCTCAAAATCCGAGATTTGCTTTAACAGCATTTTTGCGTTCAGCTCAAGAGATTTTATCTTATTCTCATAAGATAAGCGTTCAACATCAAACTTTTTCTCTCTTTCAGAAACTCTTTTCTTCTCCTTTTCAAATTCATTCCTTAGCTCATATAAATCACTCTCAGATTTATTGAGTTTTGTTGTTAAGTTCTCACTCTCTGGATTAACTTTCTCAGAAGAATTCTTCACTTTTTGCAAATCTTGAAGTTTTTTGAATAACTTCTTATTAGCATCAATCCAAGTCTTCAACTCTTCTTCACATTTTTTCCTTACTTTGTCTAAAGTACTCTCAAATTCGCAAGTCTTATCAGATAAAACCTTTTCAGAATTTTCTCTCAAGGTTTTATTTTCACTTTGTAGCTCCTTGATAAATTCTTTATCAGCAAAATTTTTATCGAACATATTAAAATATTTTTCTTTATAGTTCTCTACTCTCTTTTCCAATTCAGCAATCCTCTCTCTCAATTCTTTATCCTCTCTCTCAAAGGAAACTGCCATTTTCAAATAGATTGATTTAGGATCAAATGCGTTGAAATCAACTAAAAGAAATCAAAGACAATTAAGCTAAAAAACAAAAAACACAAAAACTGTTGAGAATTCAGAGAATCGACGAAAAACTGTCAAAAATCAGTAAAAACAGTCAAAACTGTTGAAAACAGTTAAAAACAATCAAAGACAGTTAAGACTGATTAAAACAGTTTATGCGACGCAGAACAGTCAAAAATTTCTCAAACAGTTAAAACACAGACCAAAACAGATAAACAAAAGACCAAAAATTAAAATCTAACCAAAAAATTAAACCCAAGAAAATACAAGCCCAAAACAATTTTCCAAGACCAAATCAACATAAGCGATTACAATAATAGAACTGATGATACAATACAATACAATATAGCTTTTGAGGTTTTGATCTTTGTGTTCCTTGGTTCTGATAATGGATTCAATACCAGTAGCCAACAATGCATATATGACAGCACCAATGAAAAACTCTTCGCTTTTATGAACTTTAATCAATCTTAAATCTCTCTTCACTGTATGCTTAGACTTGACCAAATTTTCCTGCACAAAGAACTTCCTGCAGCTTGATCACTCCACAACAGGTTTACTAATCTTCAATCAGCACAACCTGTGAAGCAACACCATCAACAAACATTCCTAAGACAACAAAAGCAGCAGCAATTGATGTTCCTATTGCTTACTAGTAGCAAGTACAATCATCACAGGCGCAACAAACAGCAGACTCAGTCACAGTTGACAAATTAATGGAGTTGCTGGAGAATAGCATATCTAATGAAGAAAAGCTAAGAATCACAGTTGGTGAGCTCCATGTCATTAGTAAAATTTGCCTGAGCAAAACCAAGAGCATTATACAAAGATCTTGTTGCAGCAAGCCTCATGTCATTGCTAGCCTCACTGGAATTCATACCTTGAACTACCGCTGTAAATATTTTATTCACCTGATCTTGTTCTACAGCATCTGGAGAAACTTCTTCACACAAATACCCAAGAGTTTCTAAAGTGGCTTGCTTCACATGAACAGGGACTTGGTGAATATTTGATAGAAGTGAACCAATGAGCTCAGGCCACTGTTTTTGTGGCAACATCATACCAGCAACCTTAGCTATTACTTGTGATGCCGTTGACCGTGCCTACTGGATAGGAGATGCAAGTGTCTGCAACAGGGAAATCCTAAGATAAATGCACAAAGGCCTGGACAGACCTTTTCTAATTTTGCATGGCAACCTTGCTCAAGAATAGGAGTTCAGTTCACTTGATCTACAACATGTCAAGCGATTTATGGCAAACCTGCTTACAGAATCAAACGACCTACATAACCACGCGATTTCTGTCAAACTTGTCTACTATATTGAGCGACTTATGATAATTCGCTTAACCTGATGCAGAAACAATCAAGGCTTTAATCGATCACTATGCCAAGCAGTTTATTGAAATCCGATCACAGCACCTATCGATTTAAAGAAGTCCGGTCACTGAATCTTTTATCGATTTACCAAACAATTTAATAGAAATCAGGTTACACTCGAACCAGGAAACCACAATATCAACTGAGATTGATAGCTACACTTCAACCCAATATTGACCAACTCAAAACTCGAACAATTTATGCAAATTACAACAACAGATGCTCAAGACTCGAAACAGAAAATATTAAGGGTCTGAGCGATTAAAAAAACCGGTCAAGAAACAATCCTAAATCGATCAAGATGTGAAACTATGAATCATGCGATTTTGAATAAATAGGTCAATGAAACCAACGAATTAGGAAAAGCTTTGAGCGATTTCGAGAAATCCGGACAGGGAATGAACGATTTAGTGAATACCTGAGCGATTTACACAAATCGGATAAAGCTGCTGCCCGATTTAGGAGATATCGGACAAAATGAACAAGATGAACAGTGAATTGAGCGACTTAGAACAATGACTGCAATCGATTTATGAATTCAATCAAACACTTTGAGCGATTTAAAGCAAGCTGTTAGACGATTTATGAAGTCCGGTCACCAAGTCAAGTAGTCCGGTCGCAACCTGAGATATGCCAGGCGATGAAGAAGAACTCCGATCAAGCCTTGTACGACTTGCAACCTAAATCGTTCACAGCCTGGGCGATTTACGACTTACCCGCTCACAACTGATGTAGCAAACGATTTAAAGATATCCTGGTAAGACGAGCGATTTACACAATCGGGTTCCAAATCTTTGTGCGATGAAGAGTAGAAATCGATGGAGATACCTGCGATTTAGAAAAATATAACAGGATGGGTTAAGCAGCGATTTAGAAGAGGGCTTTGAGAGGTTGGACTTTTGATCTACAAAAAATTTCTAAACCGGATGGGCCTAATCCGGTTGGGCCGGTCAAAAACACAAAATAACAAAATTTTAATACTAAAAAGGATCAAAAATATTGTTTTTAAAAAAAATTCAAGAACACAAAAAAAAAAAAAAATTATAACTATAAATTTTAACAAATCTTAAAAATCAATGATCAAAACACAAAAAACTTGTGAATAACAATGATTCACTATTCAAAACCGCACATTTTGATCATATTTTTAACATCAAAACACAAATATTTGAAAAATTTTTGGATCAAACTCTTAAAAAATGAAGAACTCAAGATGAACACAAATAAAAACACAGAAAAATAAATTCAAAAAATTCTTCAAATTCGATGATTTCTTCCGTTGATTTCTTGCACAATCTGCTATGATACCAAATGTAGAGTCCCTATGATCAATCTTCAGTTAAATCTCTTAAGAATTCATGACAATCTTCATAAAATGTTCAAGAACATGAAGAACAAGTAGAAAGAGAAAGTCAAATCTTCAAGGATGATCAAACTCTTATTTACGTAATCTAATTTACAATTAAGCTCCTACTCCAAAGTTACAAAGGAATTATCCTTTATATAGGATCAAACATCTAGGCAAAATCAAAGTCAAACTATATAAGAAAAGTCAAACACTATGACTTTTATATAATTATAGACAATATTTATCTTTCAAGACGAATACAATTTAACACTGAATTTCAGTCATAACATAGAGTATGGTAGTTTGCAAAAAGAGAAAATGGGAAAGACAGTCCAAGACTTTCTGAAAATTCCAAGGGTTTTTCTGGTGGTAAGGAAGTTGATTCTCGAAAATAGGCTAAATAGTGTCCTAAGTGTCAATACGAACATATGAGAGCATGTAACCTCAATTACGTGGAATGCTACAAATGTGGAAAGGTGGGTCATTCGATTAGGGATTGTTTTATATAAGGAGTGGTTTGCTTTAAGTGTAAGGAGCCGATGTATATCAGGAAAGAATGTCGAAAGCTGAGAAATGGTGGGAAAGGAACTGGTAGTGGTAGACTAGAAAGAAAAGAGAATCCGTCAAATGCCCAAGGTTGAGCATTTTGATGACTTTTTGCCATGACTCCAAAATCTTAAAGCATGATCTTATTGCCACGTCACATTTCATGTTATTCATCATCTTAGTCTGAATATAAAATAGACAAACAACCTCTAAGTTGGATTTGATCGCAACAAAATTGAACATGTCCAACCTATTTGTCTCGAAAGACTGATTTCTTGTAGTCACAATTTTACCGAAATTAGTCTAGACATAGCCTAGGACACCCTTCCAAAAGAACCAACAACAAAATCTTTGAAAAGTTAAAAGAAGTTGGAGGACTGTTTCTGTAATTCCATCAAAAACCAAAATGGAGACAACCAATGATATGAAAATATAAAACGCAAGCAGAGCACGACGAGCGGGACCCGCCTCTCGACCTCTCACATTTTTCCCATCTTCCCCCTTTCTCTTTCACGTAACGCGGCTACAGCTCTGTTTTCCCATCTTCCCCTCTCTTTCCTCTTCCAACCCCATGGGAGACACCTGTATTTCTTGATTCACCACCATCTATAAGACACAGGAAAGAGAGCGCAGGTGATGCTGAGATCGATTGGCTGGGAAACAAGAAGATATTAGAGAGTTAAGCGGTCGTTTTTGCGTCTCAAAAAACTAGTGGACTTGTAGGTGTTGCGGGTTTTATGGGGAGTGGGACATTCGTGGATGGGGTTCTTCGTTGGTTTCACCATCACAATCGTCGTTCTTCTTCTGTTACTACCGCTAGTAATCCTGATGGCTTTGTGAATCTTGATTCTGAATCGAAATCATTACCTTCTTCATCATCATCATCATCTACGACCCATCTCACCATCGTCGAAGACTTTGATCTTTCTGCACTCAAGGTCATCAGAGTTCCGAAACGCATCAGTTTTCCACCTGCTTTCACCTCCTCTGTCCACATGGATCATAACAGAAAGGTTTCTTTTTTGATCTGTTACTTCCTCCAGATCTTCTGTTTTGGATCTTTATGATGAGTTTTGCTATGATAATAGGTTATTTTATAACTGATTCGTATCTTTTAGATCAAATTACTTGACGCTGATAGATTTATATTGACCTTTGTGGTTCAAAAAGTCATTTTTCTGATTGCTAATTCATGCTATGTTTTCTCTGGTTCTTTTGAAAGATACCAAGTTACATGAAGTATACCATCGGACATTTTAAGAAAGTGAATAAATTCATATCAATTGTTAATTTGTAGGATGGTTCATTTCATTTGGTCCCATAAGCAATGAACCTTCTTTTTCTTTTTTGCTTTTGTTGGCCGTTTGTGGGTTAAGTAGTGGGGACCCCACAGTGCAGTGATTCACACATGTTACAACTAGAGTAATGTCATTTATTTGCTTTCTTTTGCTGATGATACTGATGTATGTTGCATACCCTTATTTGTGTTTCTGTGGCTGTTTAGCCATCACAACTTGCTTCAACCCCACCCATTGAAGTACAAAGTTTTGCTGTTTTGGCCATCATCTGCCAGATGTATCTTATGTATCACTAAAGGTGGAACAAAATCAGGCTGAATGTGGTAGGTTACATGATCCTATGTGGTGTTTTTTTGAAGATTTGACTTTGGAGGAAGTTATTATGCGATTTTCTTTGAGGTTCATACTTGTTTACTTTTGCTGATGCTGTTTCATGTGAGTCAGTATGGAATCATGCTTTCTTTGTTTAGCTACATTGAAGAAAGCAGCACTTGTTTACCATAATGTCATTCTTTTTTGATATGTATAGTTCAGCACTTCAGCTCTCTATTAGCCTTATATAACTAGTTGGGATTTCTTCTGAACCATCTTTATGATCTGTCTTCTCTTTTTCCTGGGAAGGCTGCTTAGTTCTGTAGTTTGTTTTTCCTTTTTGCGTCTCCTATCGTTCTTTAGTTATTAATTATCTTTTCAATCTATGATTGCATTTCTTTAAAAGAGGATCTATGAGCAATTTAGCATAATCAATTGCTTGCTTTTTGTTGTTCTCTACTCAGCTTGAAACAGAATTCTTCACAGAGTACGGAGAAGCCAGTAGGTACCAAGTTCAAGAAGTTATTGGCAAAGGCAGCTATGGTGTTGTGGGTTCCGCAGTTGATACTCACACTGGAGAGAAGGTTGCAATTAAAAAGATCAATGATGTTTTTGAGCATGTCTCTGATGCCACCAGGATTCTTAGAGAAATCAAGCTCCTTCGCTTACTCAAGCATCCTGATATTGTAGAAATTAAGCATATTATGCTTCCTCCTTCCAGAAGAGAGTTTAAGGATATTTATGTAGTTTTTGAATTAATGGAATCTGACCTTCACCAAGTTATTAAGGCAAATGATGATCTGACCCCTGAACATTATCAGTTTTTCTTGTACCAGCTTCTTCGTGGGCTAAAATATATTCACACAGGTAGGTTTTTTCTGGTGATATCAAATGTTATTGTGTTTTGTATTCGCATTTCTCATTATGATTACTTATTTATTGACCTTTTGCAGCCAATGTGTTTCATCGAGATTTAAAACCCAAAAACATTCTTGCTAATGCTGATTGTAAATTGAAGATTTGTGATTTTGGGCTTGCTCGGGTATCATTTAATGATGCCCCATCAGCTATTTTCTGGACGGTATGCTAAATTTGTTGTGTACTCTGACCAACTTCTTTCTTCTGTTGCACATAGATTTGAAACCATTGTTTCTACTTATTTCATACCTTGAATTATTGCAGGATTATGTTGCAACTCGATGGTACCGTGCTCCTGAACTCTGTGGCTCCTTTTTCTCTAAAGTATGATGCTTTTCCTTGGGTCTTCCTTCTGTGTATGGCCATGTACTTCCTTCATCTCATGAAAATTGCAAAACAGACGTCCCTGAAAACTGCCACTTTTTGGTTCTGAAAATTACTAAGGGGGCGTTTGGTTTGATGGATTGGTTTTGAGTGATTTGGATTCCGTAGAAGGACGTGGATTTGGAAGGATTTGAAATCGTTGGTGTGTTTGGTTTGTAGGATTTGGAATGGATTTTTGAAATCCATTCTTTATATTAAAAAAGAATAATAGATAATTATGAAAATAATTAAATCACCTTTTTATTAATTGATTATTACAAACAAATGTTTTTACATGATTTAAAGCATCATTACATACAATCCTATGAATTCCCGTGAAATACCAACCATTCCCAGGGATTTCAAGATCCTATGTTTGTGGGATTTCAAATCCTGGAAATCCTTCAAATCAAACACGAGACTAAAATGGAATTCAATTCCAAATTCTTCCAAATCCAATCCAATCCAATCCTGCAAACCAAACGGGACCTAAGGGTCCGTTTGGTTTTCAGGAATGGAATGCAATTGGGGAGATTTGGATTTCAAGTCCATTTTGATCCCATGTTTGGTATGCATGATTGTCTGGATTTGGAATCCTAGGATTCTGTGGAAATCCCTCAAACATAGGATTTTGAAATCCCTCGGGGGTGGTTGGGATTTCACGGGATTTTGTAGGATTTGTATATAATAATGTTTTAAATTATGTTAAAAACATTTATTTTCCAATAATTCATTAATAAAAAGGTAACTTAATTATTTCTATGATTTGGCTTTACAAATTATTTATAAAAAATGGAATCTCATTCCATTCCAAATCCATCAAACCAAGCACACTAAAGATTCCAAATCCTCCCACGAAATCCAAATCCATCAAACCAAATGCCCCCTAAGGCTTCGAGGGGGGTTATTTACAAGAGTAGCTTTATGACAATTTTTTTTTGAAATGCATAACCTATTGATAGATTTTTGAACGCCTCCTCCTAACACAAGAATGCCTCAAAATCTATGAGAAGGTCATAATTTAAAAAAATATCTGTCAGAAGGTTATTCTTCTATAGAACCCGTGTCTTCTTCCTTAGAAGATTGTGAGCCTGCCGCCATTGTTTACATGGTAACTAGTTGGTGACTAGTGAAGATGTATTGCTTATTGGAAGAATCACATCTAAACCTATCTATGCATTCAATATCCATGGTAGGATAAATTTGAATTTAATTAATGGTGAATTCTAAGACATGATGTTGTGATGCTAGTAAACATCTTTGCTCAAAATCAACTTTAAGTGTGGTAGGTGGCTCCATTCCCATTATATAGTCACCTCTCTTGACAATACAACAAAAGATTATTATTCAGGGTTATAATTTCTACATATAAATTGAAATCAGTCACCATTCAGTAGATCATGATTAGAATTGCAGGATGGTCATGGAAGTGTGTGTTAACTGTTTAACAGATGGATTGCAAATTTGCATTTAAATTACTAAGACATCCTCTATTGCAGTATACTCCTGCCATTGACATTTGGAGCATTGGATGCATATTCGCAGAGATGCTTACCGGGAGACCATTATTTCCTGGAAAGAATGTGGTGCATCAGTTGGATCTCATGACTGATTTGCTTGGTACTCCTTCCTCTGATTCTATTTCGAGGGTGGGTTTTTAGCTCTTTCGTTTCTTATTTGTCCATTGTCAATCATCAAATCATTCTTTTAATGCAAATGCTGATAAACATGCAGATTCGCAATGAAAAAGCAAAAAGGTATCTTAGTAGTATGCGCAAGAAACCGCCTGTTCCTTTTACACACAAATTTCCTAATGTAGATCCTTTGGCCCTTCGCCTGCTGGAACGTCTGCTTTCATTTGATCCAAAAGATCGGCCATCAGCTGAAGATGTATGGATTTTATTTGACTTTATGATTTACATTGATTTTGAGATGGTGATGATACCCTTTCTTCCTTTTGCAGGCGCTAGCAGATCCTTACTTTCAAGGCTTGGCCAATGTGGAGCGAGAACCTACAACTCATCCTATATCAAAGCTTGAGTTCGAGTTTGAGAGAAGAAAATTGGCAAAAGATGATGTTAGAGAATTGATCTATCGAGAGGTTTGGATGTCCCTCTATTGTGCTTGCTGTTTTCCATGAAACTGCAGCTTTCGACTGACACTTGCTTTAAACTAAATCTTTTACCATTAGCAAATTTAAATAGGTTTTGGTTAAAAGCAAACCTGAAAAAGGATAGTTTTGCAACTTTCAGAAGGAAGGAGAAATTAGTTTTCTGCATGATTGTACTTTCTTATCTACAATTGTTTTTTTCTTTATATCAGATTTTAGAGTATCATCCTCAGATGCTTCAGGAATATTTACGCAGTGGAGAACAAACTAGCTTCATGTACCCGAGGTTAGATGCTTTCTGCACTCTTTATTTTTTCAAGTCTGTCTGAAAACGTTAATTTTCTGATGTCCTTTCTTTTTTAATGTACGATAGTGGTGTTGATCGTTTTAAGCGACAATTTGCACATCTTGAGGAGCATTATGGTAAAGGCGAGAAAAGTTCTACTCCTCCGCTGCAACGGCAGCACGCATCACTGCCTAGGCGAGTTGTTATATGCTCAAGAAATTTAATTTACATTTTTTTTTCTTGTTATTGGAGTTTAACATGTTTGGTGTTTTCCAGGGAAAGAGTTCCTGCACCCAAGGCAGAAACCTCTGATGCTCAAGAAAATGATTATGAAAAGCGGACTGTTGCTATGACGCTTGAGAGCCCTCGGGAAGGATCAGAAAACGCAGCTGCACAAAATGGACCAAGTAGCGCCCGTAGCTTGTTAAAGAGTGCAAGCATCAGTGCCTCTAAATGTATAGGTGGCACAGGAACCAGGGATCCAGAGGTAACTTTTATCTATAACTTTGATTTACTGGGTGCAGTCACTGAAAAGGACAACCTCCCAAGGGCCTGTGAGAGTAGTCGTTTTACACAACGTTTCCCTTAAAGCGGCTGTTTGATGTTTGGGCCATAAATGACTAAACTTTACCAGCTGTTGGAAGCTTGTTATTTGCTAGTAAGGCCATGTTTGCTAGCAGCTTAATGGGACTCGTAGCTTCTTTGATCAGCTTCTTTGGTAGTGGCAAGTGGCTGGCTTATTTAGTAAGCTTCTAAGGGGTAGCTTTATGCAGAAAGCCAAAACACGCTTCTTTCATATATGAAAAACTCTTCCAAACAAAAATTTCCCCAATCTACCTAGACAGATTAATCCACACAGACAACTTTAACTATATGAAACTTAATATAAAACCAACCAAATTGCCCCTAAGGCTTATAATATGATATCCTAACTTTGATTAAGGCATATTTTGGCAAAGTAGGCATCTGGTAGCTGGAAAGGTAACCTAGCCTTTAAACTAGTCATTAAAACTAAAACTCATAAACTAATGACATTATAAAATCATCAAAAAATGATTTTTGATCATACATGTAAAATATAGAGTATAATTGGAAGAATCTTGTTTTTGAAATAAAACCCTCTGACCTTGGTGAAACGCTACTTAAAATAGCTTTTAAGAAAACTAAGCTGCTAAAGTTTTTTGGGTTGTTTGAATGTAGTCTAAAAAACATGCTAGTCTTACGGAACTAAAACAAACGGAGTTGAAGGTTAGCGGTTCTGTTTGGGGTGATAGAAAAATAATCTTGAATATGAAATTTTAAATGTTGCAGGAAGAAGTGCAACTAGAGGAGGTTGATGGGTTAACACAAAAAGTTGCAGCTCTAAAAGCGTGAGCAACTGTGGAGTGGTATGTTGATTTGTTGTAGAAAAGATAGAGCTATAGACAATGAAGTTATTTTTTGGTAAGTCTAGACGAGGGGATCGATTTATTGTATACATACTTGAAAGAATGCAAAATTTCTCAGCTTTTGGACTTGTGGCTGCAAGAAATTAGACCTGATAAATTCAGTGGTCTCAATTGTTGTGTACGTTTGGGATCGAACTCGGGACAGACGTGATGCTTTATTTCTAGCGGTTTCCAATGGAGATTCCCAAAGACTTTTACCTAGTTTATGAATCTTATATTTTATGTCTGGAGTGAATTACACCTGTGGTTTGTTCAGAATGTTTTTTATTGATGTACATTGAACGTTTAGTGGTTTGCATTTCGTTACGAGCTAGGCCCCCCTTTCCTAATGGAGTTGACTCTAATTCGCCAACTCATGGGAATTTGTTCTTTTTATCCTTGTCTTTTTGTTCTTTTGTCATTTCATTACGAGCTAGGCCCTGCTCTGATCTCTTGTGAAGATTCGGGTTTTGGGTTTTATTTGTTTTGGGCCCTCCTATATTGAAGCAAAAGAATTACGGACAAAGCTACCAAAATGACTGGTTTTTGCTAATTGTTTAGCCAAATTAGAGTGTGTGACTATTGTGTTTTTTGTAGGGTTTTTTTTGTATGTGTATCTATACACTTTGTATGTGTATGTGTGTGTGCGCGTGTTCATGTGCGCGCATGCGCGTGTACGTGGGTGAGGCAGAAAGTGGAGGCTAGATATGGTCGCAGGTAATGGGAAGGGTAGGGCTTGGTGGAGATAGGGTGGGGGGTGCTCGGGGTTAGGGAGTAGGAGGTCCATTTTTAACGTTTTTTTTTTGTGTGTATATATATATATATATATATATATATATATATATATATATATA